TCTATTTTTTATTTTTACCTAAATCTTTCTCTGATACCTTCATGTTATTAACCTATTCATTTGTTACTTTTCCCTTATATTAACTACAGTAACTTCCGACACTGAGATAATGGATTTATCCGCTTCAGTGCCGGATGTTACATGTTCTTCTTTGTAACCTTGATAAATAAATAAAGCTTAAACCAAACCAATTATTATTGCAGGTTTTGCAAATATGATAGAGGGTAATCCAAAAGTCTAGGTACTTTATAGAAAAATTTCTCTTTCTCTCTTATTACAAGTTAAAAAAATGCTCGAAGTATAGCATACAATATCTCCCAACTGGGTGAATATTATCCTAAATTTTCATAACTCTGGTGTAAGGTATAATGGAGATATATAATCTAGAGCTAAAAGAAGATTTTTTTCGCATGGTCTCAAAAAGTAACTGGTATTTTATGATGAATTGCCATGTTTGTATGTTACTTTACAATTTATAGTATGTGTAATTAAAAAAACAGAATATACCATAAGATGCAGCGTGGAAAACCCCAAAAATCTTGAAAGTAAAGGTCATTCTAATAGTGTGCTTTTTCTTTTCAAAAAAAAGCAAAACTCGATGTAACCAATTTTAGACCATATAAAGATCAGTTATTTCTTCGTAGCGTGAAAAATCGTTGGATTTTACGCACTTTTCAGTGCATTGATGAATAGCAATGAGGAAGCGAAAAAAAACAAGACATTGATAGCCCATTTTGTAACAGGTCTTTATTTCGCATACTTTTGAATCATTAAATAAGATAGCGATGTATAAATTCTTCAAAAATGAGAAAAACACTCTCATATATGGCGAACAAAACAAAAGTTTCGTTTCATTTGTTTCAACTTTAAATATTTGACTCATTTAATTACAACACATTTTCTTAAATCTTTTCAGATCGCTTAGTACTATATTATTAAAGAAAATATGGACGAGAATACTAGTTGTTTTGAATGTAGAATCCTCATTACTCAACGAGGATACCGATGTGCAGAATGTACTCAATTTTTCAAAAAAGACATACTGTTTTGTGAAGGATGTTTTCCTAGTTTTCACAAAGAAACTAAACATCAAGCAATACCATTTGATCATACAAATTCTTCGAATAACAGAATAATTAATTCAATTATCAAATTCGAAAATTCACATATTTTGATACCAACTGGTGCTCCATCAATTTTATTTCCGGTAAATGATGAAAATTCATCTGTTTGGAAAAGGAGTGATTTTTCCGAAATATCTTATCTATCAGCAAATGAAAAACTTCTATTAAAAGATAGTATACCCTTTATTTGTGATTATTTACGTATGAACAATTCATTACAAAATCTAATTAGTGAATTACATCTTAATATTTGTTCTACTGATATTATTATATCAATTCTTAAATATTCTTCATTTGATATAAGAATATCAATTATTGAACAACTTTCAATGTTTCAACGACCTATTCCAATCTATTTTGGAGTTCCATCAAATGATCATTCATCAATAAAATATTATTTTCTAATGCATGAAACATTACATGCTCTTCTATCGTACAGTTATCAAAAAACTCCATTTGTTCTGTCATTTGGTAGTTCATCGTGTCGAGATAAAACAATATTATTGAACAAAATACTCAAAACAAACTTTGATTGTCATAATCGAACTGAATTTAATTCTGAAAAAGCATCAAATTATTATCATAATCAATTAATACAAATAATACTCGGTCATCAATATCTAACTGTGAGTGGAAATGATCATGATATTCGACATACGTATCGATATCATGTACTTGATCTACATGGTTTTCACGATTGGAATCAAATGCCAAATCTTTTTATTCAATTCATGAGTGTAATCATGATTCATATCGATGTTTTAGAGGTCGATAAAATAGATTCATTTTCATGGAATATGATAACATTCAATCGAACTGCAACATATATTATTTTCATTCATGGACAAGTGTTAGATTCGAAAGTTGAAGCACTTTTTCATTCAATAATTTCAAAATATTTCGGGCCAAACGAAAAAAATGTGCATTTTGTATTAGCTAACCCAATTTTGAAAGCAGAAAATAATATTTCGTTATTAGGATTGGTTAATTTGCTGAAACAAGCTACTGTTCCGAGCGATTTATTATTCAATATCTCAGAAAAAGTTGTAAAAGAAAAAAATATTAATTTATCAACAAGTATCAGCGCTCTAATTAGAAGTAGAGGATTGCTGGAAGAATTTCGATCTCAATTAAATACACTATCATCAAATGATCCAGCTTTAGATTTATTTCCTCTATGTCGATTAAAGGAAATATCTGAAAAAATAATTCTTTCTTCGGAAAATAAACAATTAAAAGACGAACTTACAAAAAAACGTCACGATCAAGCATTTAAAGTTGCACATCCAATACTCATTCAATTAGCTGAACGATCAATAAATGATGAGAATGATATGAATTTATTCGAAAAATCGATCTTATTATGGAATACAACTTTATGGGAAAAGAAACAACAAGAAGAGAAAAAACCACCACTATCCATATGGCAACAGCTTGAAATGAGTAAAGAACGATTTTTAAGAGAATTTCAAGAACGCAGTCGAGAATACAAGAATCTTAATGGAACAGATTGTTCATTCGATGACAAAAATCTAATGAAACAGGCATTGATTAAAATCTATCGACATGCATTTGAAAAACAACAATATATTGAAATAATCAATGCAACATCATCGACTGTTTATCCAGAAGTATTTCAAGAAGCATTTTTGCCAAATTTCGATTTAAAAGGTTTCTTTGTCATTGGAATTATCGGTGAACAGAGTGGAGGTAAAAGCTTTGCTATGAATAAAATATTTGGAACTAAAACAGCTGAATCGAAATTTAAATGTACAACTGGAATTTTAGCTACTCGAGTTAAAGTTATTGGACATGAAAAAGTTAAAAATATCGTTATTCTTGATACAGAAGGTCTTCTAGATCGAACTAAAAAGGATGCTGAAGCACAAATATTCGATCGTAAAATTGTTCTTCAAGTTATGGCACGATCTCATCTTGTTTTAATCAATATTACCAGAAACGTTAATAAAACAATTCAAAAAATTTTAGAAGTCGTTTTATATGGTTTAAATAAACTGGAAATAACGAATAAACCAAAACTTATATTTCTTTTTCGGGATCAAGATCCGAGTACAATGGGTGTTGCCGGACAACGAGGTCATGTTGAAGGAGTTATCAATGATATTAACGAAGCTTGTCAAAATTTTCACTTTGATGTTACAGAATTTATTAGTGGATATGATATTCATGAATTTTCTTCACCGTTTGCCGATGTTGCCGTTGGAGAAAGAGTAATATCCTTTTTCAGTCATAATTTTTGTCTACAAGCGTTATCATTAAGACGAAAAATTATTGAGCAATTGTCATCGCTAAAGCCGTATCCATCATTCGAACAATGGGTTTCATTTACATTGGAATTGTGGAAACAAATTAATCAAAATTCAAATCTATTTGATTATGAATCATTGTTACACCTTACTCTTGAAAAAGATTTAGAAGCTTTTTGTAATCACATATTAACTACAGCTAATGATAAAATGAGAGATTTGACTTCAAATATTCTAGAGAATCATTTAGGAAACATCTATGATGATGATCAAATTTTAGCAACAATTAGACAACAACTTGCTGAGAAGAAAAATATACTCAAGAAAACTTTATTAGAAACTGAATTGCCAGAGAAAAAAATTGATTTAATGAGAAAGTATAATCTTCAATTATTTCCTGAAGCTTTATGGAACAGCACAACATCGAGAATAATGTCCTCGATAGATTTGTATGAAACAGATTATTGCATGGCAGCAAAACGACAAGTTCAACAAGATGATTTTCAAAGAAAATTGCATGAAATACCAAAAGATTTATCAAGAAGAATAAAAGAAATACAAAATGTCGCTCAAAATACTACACAGTTCGAGAACTTATTTAATAATACTAGTACAATATTGAAAAACAACTTTAGAACAATGTTGAAAAATGATTACAAAAAACAAGCAGAATCTTTACAATATCAATTGATAGAAAATTTTCTCCGACAAAATAGCATTGACAATGTTGGTGAACAATATTTTCGTTTTTACATTGGAGACGAAATGCTAAAACAGTTTGTTGAAATAACTTTAAATCAACATCTCGTAAGTACAGCTGCCTTGCCAATATCTTCACAGGTTGTATCGCTTATACAACCAGACTCACTATCAACTTCCTTACTTCCGCATGGTACTAGCTTTTGGAAAAACCTACTAACACGTTTTAGTCATAAACTACAAAAATTTCTGGGCTCCAAAAACTCAAATAGCAATGTTGACTGCACACTGGAAGAAATGCTCTCTGTATTGAATGGAGGATATAGAAAATTACGCAACAGTCTATACTACGACAACAATCTTTTACCTATTCCAACAGTGGCAAATGATTCTGTTGAATACATACAAAATCGTATCAAACGTAATAATTTAACAAATCAAGATTTAAAAAACTTTTGGATTACATGTTATGGAATTATGCTTAATTTATTCTGTGAAAATCATCGGAATTATATTATTAAAAAACTCACAGATGAATTCGATCAGGAAATCATTCGTAGCAAAGAAGAAGTTAGACAAAGTATTACAAACGCTACAACAGCTGAAGAACATGGTGAAGCTTTAATAAAACAAATATGGGCAATAATTGAAAATGACATTGAGAAACATTTTCAGAATCAACTGGAAATTTTTTTTTCTACTTGGAATGATTATCGTCCGTCAATTATAGCAGAAAATTGTGTAAATCAACTGTTTCGATCAAAGAACTATCAATTGATGTGGAAATATATTAAAAATCCAATTGAGTATGTTAAAGATTGGCTTCGCACTCAATTTAACGATCAATATAAAAGTCAGCTTACTAAAACAATTAATAGTCTTGCGTTACATCTGAAAGAAAAGAAAAAACAATTTCTACGAATGATTCTTTCATGGAAATCAACTATTGAAGCTTCTAATATTCAACTATCGAACACAAAACTCAATCAATGTCTTATCGAGTTTTTAACCAATGGAAAATATGTAACAGATGATTTCAAATTAGAAGAAGGATCAGGTGGCTTTTCATCTTTGCAGTCTAAAACAATTAGAACAATTCCAGAAGATGCCGATAAATACCATCTTTTAAGAGCTATTCAGTCAACATCTGAAAAAATCGAATCCGGTGATAATAAACATGTAACAGAAACCATGGAAAAATTAATTAACAGTGAGCCAATGAAGGATCGTTTATTTGAAGGATTTTATAACAAAGCAAAAGGCTGCGGAACACCTTGTCCATATTGTAAACAAATGTGTGATAACGATAACGAGAATCATACTGAACACCGCTCCAGCTATCACCTCCTCTGGGTTTTTACCGGTTATCGGGGCAAAGATACGAAAAAGCCATCTTTAATTTGCTGCACATCAAATGAAGCGTTCGAACGTACTGTTCAGTCCATAACTGATAATGAAACATATATACCATTTTCTGACCATATAAAAAGATTTAATTCGTCATGGAAAATAATTAATCTGCAAACACAACTAGAAGATTTTCAATTAAAAGCATATATTGCACTGGAAGAAGATTTGGCACAATTTTATAACTTCGAAGGACGAGCAGATGTTGAAATCCGCAAAAAATTTTTACGGACTGTAGTAACAGCTTATTGTTATTCGTTACTCATCGGCATTGATTATGAAAATACACCTCATAGTCTCGATGGAATTCCAACCTTTGATGTATCGTGTATTGAAAAACAACTTATGGGTTCTTCTATAGCATATGCAGAAAACATATGTGTCCTCAAGAACGATGAAGCTACTAAAGATAAAATTTTAGACAAATTACAAAACATTGTTGACAATCTGGATGAACGTTCAACGTTCATATTCTATTTCGCT